TTCTAGCTATGGTTAGGGAGAGTAAATATAAGGACGCAATCAAGTGTATTATATCTATGGTCGGGGAGAGTAAATATAAGGACGCCATCCAGTGTATTCTATCTTTGGTTAGGGGGAGTAAATATAAGGACGCCATCCAGTGTATTCTATCTACGGTTAGGGAGAGTAAATATAAAGACGCCATCAAGTGTGTTCTAGCTATGGTTAGGGAGAGTAAATATAGGACGCCATCCAATGTATTCTATCTATGGGGGGAGTAAATATAAGTACGCCATCCAGTGTATTCTATCTTTGGTTAGGGAGAATAAGTATAAGGGCGCCATCTAGTGTATTCTATCTATGGTTAGGGGGAGTAAATATAAGGACGCCATCCAGTATATTGTAGCTATGGTTAGGGAGAGTAAATATAAGGACGCCATCCAGTGTATTCTAGCTATGGTTAGGGAGAGTAAATATAAGGACGCCATCCAGTGTGTTCTAGCTATGGTTAGGGAGAGAAAATATAAAGACGCCATCCAGTGTGTTCTAGCTATGGTTAGGGAGAGTAAATATAGGACGCCATCCAGTGTATTTTATCTATGGTTAGGGGGAGTAAATATAAGGACGCCATCCAGTGTATTCTAGGTATGGTTTTGGAGAGTTAATATAAGGACGCCATCCAGTGTATTCTATCTATGGTTGGGGAGAGTAAATATAAGGACGCCATCCAGTGTATTCTATCTATGGTTGGGGGGAGTAAATATAAGGCCGCCATCCAGTGTATTCTATCTATGGTTAGGGAGAGGAAATATAAGGACGCCATCCAGTGTATTCTAGCTATGGTTAGGGACGTTTTCTCCTGGGATACTACTTCTACGAAGGCTTGGTGACTGATTCGATGGCCAACATGTTATCGGTTGTGATTTAACTGGTGTTTTAAATCAAATGCTATTAAAATATAAGTATACTACTAAAAGTGATGTTTAAACAGTCGCTACTGACACAATGCTTTTTAATTGGTATTTAGATATTTGATTCCGTTATCATGGGCGAAACAAATAATATATAACGTTGAATTTTCCGTTTCCAAAACTACTTATTTGTATGTGTTTTCTGTTGTACAGGGCGGATAGTTAACATGTCTAGTGTAAAAGGTCGATATTCCTGGCCTGGTGATTCGGTTTACATCGTAACCAAACACGGAATAGAGACCATGAGCGACTCCCTCCGACTCGAGATGAAGAAGTTTGGGGTCAAGGTCGCAGTTATAGAACCCGGACAGTACGACGGAGCCACGTCTATCAGCAGCCCGGAGCAGGTGACGTCACATATCTGACATTACGTTATCTTTTCCAAATTACAAACTCTAAACTAATTCAAATTACGTAGTGCAACTATGTTTAAATGTACATTTTTGTAAATGTAAATCAAATCCAATCAAATCAATTTTATTCCTCTGATAAGAGTTTACATATAAAGAATAAAATGGACAGATCTGTACACGATTAGAGTAGATATGACATATAAAGCGATAAGATGGTAGCGAATTCAGATTTTGCTTGCAAAATTTGCAAAATTGAATATGACAATTGTTTGATATAGTTCTGTTTTCTACTAGTATGTTATCGTGTTAAAACATTTCCATATCCAGCTGAAACGCCTGAGGAAGGAGATTGACTTTATGTGGGAACAGGCGTCGGAGGAAGTTAGGCAGACCTACGGACGTTCGTATTTTGAGGCTATCTACCAGGGAATGGAAAGAGAGACGAGTGGGGGACGTACGATGTTGGCCGATCCCGTTATGAACGCTATTGAGGACTCCCTCATCAACGTAACCCCACAGGCCCGGTACCTGGTAGGGGGGTCGTTCTCTCTCGTAGACAAACTCGGGGTAAGGCCTATCATAATTATACACATATTTCATTTGATTCAGCTAGGTAACCCTCTTAATGTTCTCATTTAATGTCAAATAATCAATGACATACTTGGCAGTATTATTTAGTGAGCATGTCTGTTGCGAATTTTATTTGATATGCTTCTTGGATATCTTTTATTTTTCTCTGTTTTATTCCCAATCGCCTATATATACAATGCATAGACTCCATCAGTGTGATACGATAAAGGAACTATGATGCAGATTATCTAAATGGATATATTAGATGAAAATGTCATTATGAAAAAGAGCTTGTAGATTTGTCATTATATTTACAGATTCTTGCAAAAATCTATAACTTTCTCCCCGAGTTTATTTCGGATTGGATCGTTGAGAAGATGACCGGATGTGTTTCATTTACCCGTTGAACCTTAGAAACATCCATGACATAGATGGACTCTAATCTCGGGTCAGCGACATCAAAGATGTAGTAACGTGAAATTATATCACTCATCTGCAATCGAGAGTGTCCATTGATAAGCTTACACATACGTACTGGCCTAGTGCAAATGTGTGATTGCATTTGGGAAGGCATGTTTAATCATTAAAAACGATGTGTACTGGTTTCTTTCTGATCGAATAACCTATCTAATACCAAAAGGGTAGAAAATATCTTACTTTAGACTGTGTGTTCCATTGAAATCATGACGGATGCAGTGTTGGTCATGTCCGTGTATTAGTTTTTACCAAGAAATAATAAATAAATCTTATTGTACCTGTTTTGCTAGATTTTAAAAGACTCAACGCCTAACAGTATTCGTAGGATTTGTAGGATGCAGACCACAGTCAGTACAACTGCATCAACCGACTGATGAAAGTCAGGAACAACGCAAGTCATGCTGGACCATGTTATGCACATTATATGTCTAATCATGTGGTTCAGTGATAAACTACTTTAATTTGTGAGACTTGAACGGACAGGTTCCGTCTCTGCAAGATTCTTAAAATTGATGTGTTTATTTAGCATGTGGTTCAAATGAAAGACATGCATTTGTTGACTACCTAAATTCTATAGATTGCATAAGAATAAGATTTATATTATATGGAAATTATCCTCTCCCAATACCTCTGTTCTTAATGCAACGATACAAGACAACTAATGTCACAAATAGTACATATCTATTCACAATGATTCCTTTTTTATAACTGGAGTAAACGTACACGGGTTGCTGCACACTTTGAGCATACATGAATGTACAAATACACTTTTTTGTCCATTTCAATCGTGTATATACCTTCATATTGTACAGATAGGGGTGGATTGACTCAAATTATAATCGATTGCTTCGTGTTGTATAAAGGGACACATTGTATTTTAATAAGGGGTGTTTTATTTACAGTATTAGATTAACGAATTATGTACAAACACGGTTTAGATATCATCCGCATATGTGCTCGGACACCCGCATACAGGACATCGCTTGCCTGCTCAATAGGAACGCATTTCATCATTAAAAAAAATAGTCGTTTAACGGTATATAGCACTTAAATATTATCTTTACAAGTAAGTGACGACGGAACATATATTATATATAGCTAAAAAGATCGCATATCGAAAGCACGACAGAAGCTTTCCGGTATATTCCATTAAGGCTGTTTTGACAGCGTAGAACTTGTGACGTCAAAGATGTGAGCCATCCATATCCAGGCGATCGCTGCTGAGTCAAAGGTGGGTTTTTTTTTCAGAAAAACGCAATATCTCGGAAACGAAGGTAATCACGACGTTTGCATTTTTTAAGTCTGTAACTGCATGATATGAGTATTTCCGAAGCGTGAAATCATAAGGGTACACTTTAAGACGTAGAACATCTCATCATAAAACTTTATCTCGAACCCGGTGTAGAAATATGATTTATAATAGTACACTGACTGCACATACCCCTGACGTATTTTACACCTGTAGCCCTGGGATATTAAATATTGATCTTTTGAATTAGATAATGTTCCTGGGATTAAATACGTGACTACTGACGATTCTTTTACTTATAGTCTGAACATATCTCCTTCCAATGTCAAAATACTCAGGATCCAGATACTTGATTTGGGGATAGCATGAGCAAATTGTCTAATGAATATGTTCCTTTCTAACAGGCGGAAGTATCATCCACTGATACTGGCTTATTGAAATGATCATATAGTGGGAGTTTTACGAATGATTTTAAAAGTATAATGCTATGGGATAGCATGCTATGGGATAGCCTCCGATATTTGAGATTTGGGCTTTATATCGCGATTGAACCATCGGAAATGACATTTAATTGGCGATGCGGAGCGGAGCCATTAATACGGATATTTGGGACAATATGAAGGGCGATTTATAGTTATATTATCTGTACTATATACGTGGGTCTATAGCTATCATATCGTTGTTTACATACATACAGGTCTCTATTAATTCAATTAATAATACATTATATAGTTATAAGATAGTAAACAATATAAAAGGGGATTTGAAGTTATATTACCGGTACTATAGATGTGGGTGTACAGCTATCATATCGTTGTTCACATACATACAGTTCTAGAGTAATTCAATTAGTGATACATTATATAGTTATAACAAAGTAAACAATATAAAAAGGGATTTATATTTTTATTACCGGTACTATAGATGTGGGTCTATAGCTATCATATCGTTGTTTACATACATACAGGTCTATATGGTAATTCAATAAGTAATACATTATATAGTTATAACATAATGACAAACGCAACATCTTAGCAATGTTCTTAATGAAACCTTAAAGTGTTCCTTCATTTTGTTTTTTGAGTTCATTGAATGGTCATATTAATTTCTGAATTCTGTAAAACACTAGGTTGTTTTCATTTGTTCTCTTAATTCATTCAATACATTTCATGTGTCTATATTTATTTTTATATTATTTTCAGAGTTTATGTTAAGTTTTGGGATATCAAAATTATCATTGATGTTACTAGATTTTGAGGTTGTATTCTGCAGCTAAAATATATTTAAATTGTTTTAATAAGTATGACATGTGCACATATCTATTTGTAATTTCGTATGTATTGTACTTATATCAGAAGTATTGTTTGTAAACATTTCCTTCAGGTTGGTAAGTATGGATTATGAAAAGTTCTTTCTACACAATCAAATTTTCGATGTGACGTTTCGATGACTACTACGATATGTACACTGTTACCTTCATCAAACAAATGACCAGCGAAGTGTATACACACAAAAGTGTAAAATGTGTACGAGAAGTATTGTTGTTTTATGAAGTGGTTTACATGTGTGTAAATCTGTCAATATAGCAGGATCTGTGTTATCTTTGACCTACTACGCGGAAGTAGTATTGTATTTCATTTTCACCATGTTGGCGTTTGACAACACTTGTGTTTTTTGTTTTATATTACTTAACGTGTATATTGTGTATAGCTACTGGATTTCTCTGCTGGCCATCTTGCTGGTCTACTCTGCTTTGAGACCGATCATTAAAACCTCAAGGAGTAGGTTGGACATAGGCAGAAAAGGTGTTTTCATTACAGGATGTGATACAGGTAAGAATAAACGGTTATAAATGTGCATGGTTTGACAATGTCAATAATTATATATATATATATATATGTACATATTTGCATAAATATGGACAATATCATTACATTATCTGTACAATTATATATTGACAATTTCACAAATCAAATTATTAATAAAAAATAGTATTTCTGTAACTAAAATTATATTCGCAATGTCATAACGACAACGTATATCCTTTGGCAATGTTGTACCAATGTCCTGTGAAGTGATTAGTGTATCGGTAGTAAAGGAAGGGTATCATTTACATGAAATGTCGATACTCAATATTGGTTACCTATTCTGAAGGATTTGGTCACCATCTCGCCAAACGACTCGATGACAAGGGGTATACAGTGTATGCCGGCGTCCTCAGTGAACAGAGCCCGGGGGCCAAGGCTTTACAAGCACGCCAGTCAGACAGGCTTCATGTTATCAAACTTGACGTTACTAAAGACGATGACGTCGAACAAGCTCTCACGTTCGTAAGATCTACCGGACCAGGTATCATCCATTCCCCAATGTGAATTAAATATTAAATATTGGAATATTACAAGTCATACGATATACATGCAGTGCAGGCAACACAAAGTGCATCTGTCATTTGGTACAAGTATATGTTGTTTCGAACTTTCTAACAAACACAATTCGTTATTGCTATACGCTTGAACAATTATCTGGTGAATTTCGTAATAAAAACGTCGAAATGATACCGGCCTCCACGAGCGGTTTTGTTTTAAACATATTTTATTGCCTTTTTTTTTACATAGCAATGGAATTGGGCACAAGTTTTACAACTTATATCAAACCCTTTCCCTTTCCACGAGCGGTCTCTTTTGATACTTTGAAACATAACATAGCGCACCTGTGATTATTGTACATTGGAATTATGTCGTGACGGTTTTCAAAATTTTGTAATATTTGTCTTGATTATCCGTATTTTGTTTGTTCTCATCTTTCTATCACAGTTATAAAACTGGAACATTGTTGTAGGACTTTTTAACTTAATCCCAAATAAACGTGGATAAGATGTATTTGTATAATTGTTAAAGTCACGATATTCTTCACTGACTATCACGTCTACACACTGAATATAATTCGAGAGTATCACGAACGCTGTGGAGGAAGTGTGCTTGAGTGTATTGGTACAAGCACGGTCTGTACTTGTTATTTGAATAACAGCATACACTGACCAAGAAACACGGGCACCGGAGGTTAACTCATGATCACATGGTGATAACGGAAGATTTCAGGAAATTACGGTGATGGACACCAATCCTCTATGTTAATGGAGAGATGTTGAACACGACACTTCAAAGCCCTCAATCTTAGCAATAGGAGGTTAAAGGTTCCCTTGAAGTAAGGGAGACAATTCTCCTTTCAATGGTTCGAGTGATGTAAGGTTTTCGAGAGGTGCTGGTAAAGCCTGTTAAAGTTGTAAGGCACCGTCCCTTACTGACAACAGTGAGTGTATGGTTAAGGTTCCCTTAATACATTGAAAGAAAAGTTAACATTTTGCAGTATTGGTTGGAGTTGAAAAATACAAAAAAGTATGTCTTAAACGCCTGCTTAGAACAAAGAATTCAGCGTATTTATGGGATGGTAGTGAGATGAAAAGTGTACATTAGTCAAGTATGACGTGGTTACGTATATCAAAAGTTTGTTGGTTATTTTTGTTTACAGTATTTTTTATGTAAAAATATTTACTCACAGTACAGAAAATGTGTTATCAAGTATAAGACTATCATCTCATGATCTTAACATAGAGAAAGGCAGACATGATAATATTTCGAGACATGGTAGAATGTGTACATGCCGAATTGAATCGAAATTGAAGATCAACTCCATTTTTTACTAAAATGCCCATTTTATTCAGATAAACGTCAAAGATATATTAAGAAATATTACTTTTGAAAACCTAGTGTATTCAAGTTAGTTCAGCTTTTAAGTGTAAACAATGTTACAGAACTAAATAAAACGGGAAATTTTGCGTTTTGCATTTAAGAAAAGAAAAAATCATGTGACTTAAAGGATTACTTTTGATATTGTTTAATTTGAGCATGTAAACAATTCAATCTTCGTTTATTTGTATATATTATACGTATGCAACTTATGGGCCGCCGGGCATAAGGAATAAAAGATCATTAAACACTCATTTTATCGGTTTTAAGTCCGAATACGGTTTTGTTGGCATTTCCGTATTTTCTTGATCATTTCTATTTTTATATAAACCGTAGTACATCTATGTCTACTATAACTTCATTTTGCGACGTTATTTTCTATCAGGTAATCGGCGAGTGCTGGTTTTATTCTTTTTACCTGCTTAGAACCTATTAGTTTTATTATTTTTCTAATACGAAGGAATTTCTATCTATTTATATATCATTGTTTTCTTGGACAGCACGTCAATGTAGGTAATCAATGCTCCTCATCTTTTCTTAAAATAAGTGTATCGATATGTACACTTATATAATGAGTAAATGCCTAGCTTGTTCCTTATTGAGTATTATTGTTTAAGTACCTAGAACTTTTTTAGACGTTTACTTTGATGACATCTTCATACTAACGTTTAAGCTGCATCGGATCAGAGGTGATTTATAATGAACCCTTTTGTGACCTGGTCAGGATAACTTGTTTACATGTAAACCAAAAGGACCGGTAGTATAAACTAGGGGGGTTATAGGTCACCAGTCGTATCTATTTGCTGAGTTATTATGTCATAACATAAATTTGCTTACGTATTTGAATCAGGACTATGGGCCATTGTCAACAATGCTGGAATAGATTTCCCCGCTGATGTTGAGTTAGCGACTGTCGACCAATACAAGCGATGTGCTGAGGTGAATCTTTATGGCATGATCCGGGTCATCAAGGCGTTTCTCCCTATGATCAGAAAGTCTAAAGGTATAAGTTCCCTTCCTGTGATCAGAAGGTCTGAATGAAGGACGTCATCCAGAGTGTTCTAGCTTTGATTAGGGAGAGTAAATGTATAAGGACGCGGTCCAGAGTGTCTTAGCTTAAAAATGATAACAATACAACACTAAATACATGTCATTACGTTACATTGTCCTGAAAGTAACCAAAACTACAAAGATTCTTTAGTATACATACTGAATTTAGATTTCAAACCAGGTTGTTATTTTTCACTTTATTAAAAAATGAGAACGTTTATTTATTGTCCTATACATTAATCGCTACTTTTTAATTTACACTCGATTACCTACATGTAAAATCTGCATGTTTAAACCTTTTTGAATACCTTAGAAATCAATAATCATACAGTATACATGCACTTAGCTACTGGGATCAATCCAGGTAAAAATTTTCACTTGAGCAATATAATGATAAAAATAATAACATTATAATGTTTCTACTCGAGATTCAAATTCTTCTACGAGAGACTTGGTTACAGATTCGATTCCCCACATGAATGCGGTTGTGACTAAACTCATTTTTTAAGTCTTCTGCTGTTAAAGTTTAAACAGTTGTTACAGACATAAATGTTGCTCGCAAGTTAAGGTAGTAATTTGACATTTGATTCCGTTATCATTAGAGAAAATAATAATATATAACGTTGAATTTTCCATTTCTAGAACTACTCATTTGTGTGTGTTTTCTGTTGTACAGGGCGGATAGTCAACATGTCTAGTGTAAAAGGTCGATATTCCTGGCCTGGTGATTCGGTTTACATCGTAACCAAACACGGAATAGAGACCATGAGCGACTCCCTCCGACTCGAGATGAAGAAGTTTGGGGTCAAGGTCGCAGTTATAGAACCCGGACAGTATGACGGAGCCACGTCTATCAGCAGCCCGGAACAGGTGAAGTCACTATCTGACATTACATATAGATGACTATGTATTACATAACCGACCCATTTTACCATGTCATACAGCCATGTCAGAAATATGGTATAACATGTGTAATAAAACATTTACTATTACATTTTTGATGAATTTTACCGATTTTTTTGTCATAATTATTTTCATTCCGTTTAAAACTGCTCCTTACTAATAAAAAAAACAATCTGAAACTACTTTGCACTGCGCGAAACGCCAATACGATGATCGGAGTAGTTTGATGATCTATATGGAGTCAGATGATAACATATAATTATGTTAGAAGTGGTGTTTTTTTTCAAACTCTGAATGCGATGTGATAGGTAGAATCTTACATTCGTATCCATGTCATATTGAATTTATTAAACTCATTCAATAATTTGATATGACACTCGCTTAAGGCTTGTGCCATATCAAGTTATTAAACTCGTTTAGTAAATTCAATATGACATGGACACGTATGTAAGATCTTCTATTTCCAACATAGCTCAATATCATAACCTATATTCATAATATAAACCTNACTCTTCAAATTTGGAGGAATAAAGATATGAATGAATGAATGAATAATAAACGTTTTTCCCATTGATTGTGATGATTACGTTTTATGTTCCAAAAATGTTATTCAAACTAATTCAAATTACATAGCACATCTATGTTAAATGTATATGCAAAACAAATCAAATACAATCAAATACTTTGATAAAAAAAATACAAATAAAGAACGAAATGGACATATCTTTACACGATCATTACGAAAAAGTCGATGACATATAACCCGATAAGACGCTATCGATTTTATATTCTACTTGTTATTAATTTACAAAATTGAATATGACTATTGTTTGTACTTGTTCTGATTTCTACAAGTTTTTTGTCGTGCTTAAACATTTTCATATCCAGCTGAAACGCCTGAGGAAGGAGATTGACTATATGTGGGAAAAGGCGTCGGAGGAAGTTCGGCAGACCTACGGACGTTCGTATTTTGACGCTATCTATCAGGGAATGGAAAGAGAGACAAGTGGGGGACGTCAGATGTCGGCCGATCCCGTTATGAACGCTATTGAGGACTCCCTCATCAACGTAACCCCACAGGCCCGGTACCTGGTAGGGGGGTCGTTCTCTCTCGTAGACAAACTCGGGGTAAGGCATATTATAGTCATACTTGTATTTCATTTTGTTGAGCTATGTTACCCTATCAGTGATCTCATTTAATGTGAAATAATCAATAACATACACAACTAGAAGGTATTGCAAGGTGGACGTTTAGAACTTATTTATTTGATATGCTGATATATACCATGTTTCACTGTTACACCCCTAATTCGATAATATATGCAATGCATAGACTCCAGCAGTGTACAACAATAGAGGAACTATGATGAACATGATGTAAATAGATTTTTATGGTGAAAATGTCATTATTTAAGAGAGCTTTAAGACTTGTCATTATCTTTACAGATTCTGGCGAAGGTCTATAACTTTCTCCCCGAGTTTATTTCGGATCGGATCGTTGAGAAGATGACCGGATGTGCTTCATTTACCCGTTGAACCTTAGAAACATCCATGACATAAATGGACTCTAATCTCGAGTCAGCGACAACAAAGATGCTGTAACGTAAAAATACAACACTCATTAACAATAAAAATTATACTGTTACCGGCCGAGTGAAAAATGTGTGTTTGTATTTGAGAAAGCGTCTTTAATAATTCAAAATTATGTGTAATGGTTTGTTTGTATCAAAAGATTTATTTGTTACCAAAATGGAAGAATATTCCGCTTTAGACTGTGTGTTCCATTGAAATCATGACGGATGCAGTGTCGGTCATATCCGTGTACTAGTTTGTACCAAGAAATAATAAATAATTCCAATTGTACCTATATTACTAGTTGTTAAAGACCCAGCGTATTACACTTCTCGTAGGATTTGTCATGTAAATATAGGTAAAAAATTACTTCAGATGAAGTTTTTATTATAACATTTCACACTTTTCTGCTTCTTCTTATTTATTTGAAAAGTGATGACAATCTGTCCACCATTCTGCAAATTTGTCTGTGACACTTTCTGGGAGGATGTTGAATAATTTGGCATATACCTGAAAGTATAGTTAATGCTGTTCAGTTTCATATCAATAATCAATCTGACAATCTGACATCAATCTAACATGCGCAAATACTCAAATTATTAAATAATATATCGCAAGTATTGTAGTTAAACCTTCATCACAGGTGTTCAGTTGTTTTATGACCAACGTATGCCAGCAAACATTTTGTGTCCAACATCACAGCACTACTTACGCCAACAATGTCCACGTAACCATCTGTCCCTCCGACGAAGTATCTCGAGAACGGCGTGCTTCTGAACAGGGCTTGTTGAATGGCGTCCGTGATAGGGTCAGGTGATACTGGAGTGATGTCAATCATCTTTGTCGACCTCGCCTGGTACATATTGTCTAGGTACTCCTTTCCATAAGTACTCCTTACCTCGTCCGAAGCATTTTCCCACATTGTTCCAAACTCCTGTTTTATTCGCTCGAGCTAATAAATATTATCATTGAATGTAGATGTATATCACAGCGTCAACGGAAAGCAAATATCTTCCAGAAAACACCAGCGGTTCCTGCACCTAGCAACATATCTCCTGTTTAATTGGGTAATACATGAAGTCAGCAACGACAAAGATGACTGAAGCTTTCATTTTATATCACGAACATGACAAGTGTCCGTGAAATGCGAACGAAGCTACTCAATATTTTCGGGCAAAAACACAGTTGTGTCAGGTCAATAACGGAAGGAAGGCCAGTGATCAGCTATTCTGTGTGAGTTTCAGGTTGTTACGTTCCTTTCTTCATAACCCGCCCTTGTTTTATCAATTTTAAGTTTAAATTAGGTCTTGTTAAGTATTCTTTTGTTTGTTTTAATGAACTGACCCCAAGTAAAGATGTCGACCACACAACAACGCGATGACAGGACATGGTAATAATCAGTGCATCGATCTGTGCATCTAAAGTAATTAATATCTTGAAGAAACAGTTCGACGGATTGCCTGATGAAATACATTGTTACAGTTTTGCATGCGTTATTGTCCCTTCTTGACGTCAAAACCTACAACACCAACATCTACATCTTGTCTATAAAATACATTGTCACATATATCTGCTCAAACGTACCACAAAACTATATTTATCATTTCTTCCTGTTTTTTTCTATACTACTGACTTTGTATAAAAGCAATTCTTGTGTTGTATACACTTACTATGTATATCATTTCTAATGTTTACATCCTGAATATTGTGGATCATTGTAATTATTTCCAATTCTTTAAACAGTACAGGTTGCGGACAAAGTACTTGCAACCTTAATTCTCGAAAGGCAAAGGAAAACAAAATTAAGTTGGAGGGGGACTATCCGGTTATAATTTAATTTTGCCTATCTCCCCCATAATATTTATTTTGGTATATATCGTATATACCTAAAAAGTAAAACAACTGATGACACTTTTTACACTTCAGAATGCAAAATTACAACGCAGCTTTGTTTTAGCGCAATTGTTTAGTTTACGTAAAAATGAAATAAATCTTTAACTGTGCATTTACAACGTGTTTGTCTACTTTTTTATATTAAATTATAAAGAATGCCCAAGATTTTGTTTTGGAATATACGGTATATACCAAAACAAAATCTTGGTCATTCCTTAAATAATAAGTCAAGCATCTATATCCTTGTACTAGGCATCTATATCCTTGTACTATACATCTATATCCTTGTACTAGGCATCTATATCCTTGTACTAGGCTTTAGATTTCCTTCTGCTAAAAACCGAACTAAACCAGAAATTTGCTTATCGACACTTTTCTAACCGACATAATGGTATCGATATTTCATTATGATTAGTTGTGTCACTGGATTGCTGTTTCTATCACATGCACTTTGTTATTCACATTATCGTTGTTCTTACCTGTATCGGACTCATTATTGACGTAGCACCATCAAAATCTCCTGGTTGGACCACCACGACCTTTACTCCAAACTTCCTCATTTCCAAACGAAGGCAGTCGGCCATTGTTTCGATTCCATGTTTGGTGATGTTGTAAGCTGACTCTCCGGGCCAAGAGTACAGGCCACGTGCACTAGAAATCACCACCACTCGTCCTTCAACACATACATGTACGGACAGAAACAGTAGGGGGCAACATGTGGACCAGATCACGCTTATATACGTATATTGTTTAAATCAGTAAACCTGAACTTAAAATTATAATATTTGGTTTGAATGAATATCTGCGAATGCGGGTCGAATAATTAGAGATGGTGGCACTGTTTTTCTTTTTCAATTATTACTAATGCTTATATTGCTGTTATGTACAATTTGAGGATAATTTAAACAAATGTCTAATGTTTTTTGTCTAAGTGTTATATTAGTTTCGTGAGGTTTTGTTTTGTGTGTTAGGTGTAATAAAAACTAATAAGATTTTTTCCTTTGTTATCTATTTTTGTACTTTTTTTGGAATATTATTGTGTGTGTGTGTGTGTGTGTGTGTGTGTGTTCGTAAACTAGGTGTTACATGTAACATTTGATTTGTTCTTCAGTTAAACATACATTTCAAATCGTTTAAAATATGATCTACTGTAAGTGATCGTTCGACGTTTAATTATAACTCCAGTGCATAATTTTACCTAGAATAAAGTGAACACAAGTCTGTCATGCGTCTGATGACTCTTCCTCCATTGTAATTACCTTTAGATCGCCTCACTAAGGGTAGACAACCCTTGATGACTCGTATACCACCATACAAGTTCACTTCCGCAACCTTTTGGAACTGGTCAGTAGTCGTCAATTCGACGTCGCCAGGAAAATTTATACCTGCGTTGCTCACTACACCCCAAAGTCCTGCATACAAATATCACACGAACTTTCAGTAAAACGTAAATACTTAAACATAGGCTGTATCTCTTCTGTATGAACGACATGTGGACTCAAAGTATCACTAGCACCGACAACTTTATATGTCGCACATTTATCAATTTATATATAGTGTAGATAACGCATACAATGCGAATGAGCCCATACATACAGGGTAGGGGGAATGACATCTAATATACTGAATATGATGATATTGTCCTGACAAACACAATTCATTTGCTGGAAAAGCTTCCTATTTAGATGAAATGTCGTTTACATACAAGGATATAACTGACACGTCTACCTTACAACTTTGTACATGGAGCCGTCATCAGGGAACAACGCGGGATTTTTTCACAAACAAAAGAGCTCCAATGCAGTATTTGTTTACGCATCGCTTTAAAGATCATTATCTTAAGCAAATGCTACTTTGGTTTTCTTATTTTCATATTGGTCTGTATTCATTTAAGTGCTAAACATAACCGGTAACGAATACCTTGCGAAATCATTCAATTTCATTTTTAGATATATCGACTTCAAATAAAAACATTTTTTAATAATAGCATCCATGCTTTCCCCACCTATCATTAACATTATGCGGCTGATTCCGTATTCACTGACGTGATCGGAGTAAAATAATCTTGAAAAAATATCGACAGTTGGCGGACAAACTTACAACATCAGGTTTTAAAACAAGCAAGTTAATTAAATTTATTAACAAGTTTTATGGTAGCCTAAGTGATCACATAAGGATATTTACGTCGTGCGATCGAAAAGGTCGATATCTTTATTATGACTATAAGTTTGTCTTGTAGTGTCGGTGTCAGTACCGCCTCTCCCACTTTGTGGACGTGACATTACTAAGAAACTTACCCCTCCAATTTCGTTTGTTCCAGAGGTAACACAAACATTCCAATAACTCACCAAGACGTTTACTCTGAATATATTTCACTGCTTCCATTACGTCAGTGTCAGAGGTGACATCGAGCTTTACGATGTGGAGTCGCTTTGACTTCTTCTTGCGTAACTTCTGGGCCCCCTTACTCTCCATGTTAAGAACTCCAGCAATTATGGTATACCCAAGATCGTGGAAACGCTCAACAGCATGGAACCCGAATCCTGTATGGCATTATGAACGAAATAATAACTAATACAATCCTACGGGAAAATATGCCTTTCATGCAATATAGGAGGGATACAAATAAAATGTAAAACCTAAATACGCTCGATAAACGCATGCATTGCCACGTTGTAAACATTTATTTCCTATAAAAGAGGACAACAACACTTAGTAATTTATTCCTGCAATTGTTTGTTGGCCAAATAAGGAAAATGGAAGGAAGATATGTTGCTTTATGGAATCTTGAACAAAACAAAAATAAGTAAATAAACAAAAACAATCAAAACTAGATACACTCTATTATCAAAATCATAACATGGGATTTCAATTATAAATGTTCTACGCACGATCTGTTAAATGAACAAACATTTCCTTTCTTATACATAGATTTGTCATTTTTTATTTCTGTTTCGAATGACCCTTTGGAGAGTAGAAATAATATAATTGGCTTAAAAAACCATCGACCCCAGGTCCTGTCCATCAGAAAGCTGACCACTGGACCACAATGGTACATTTTTTCATTGTCCTTTAGAAAAAACAACTTATTACTTGATATAGAGATAACTTTAAACCCCATTTAACTTAGATTTTTGCTTCCAGGTTTTGGAATATTATTGTGTGTGAGGATATATACAATGCATACTGTATAGGACATATACAATACATAGTGTATAGGACATATACAATACATACTGTATAGTACATATACAATACATACTGTATAGGACATATTCAATACATACTGTATAGGACATATACAATGTACAATACATACTGTATAGGACATATACAATACATAGTGTATATGACATATACAATACATACTGTATAAGACATATACAGTACATACTGCATAGGACATATACAATACATACTGTATAGGACATATAAAGTACATACTGTATAGGACATATACAATACATAGTGTATAGGACATACACAGTACATACTGTATATGACATATACAATGCATACTGTATAGGACATGTACAATGAATAATGTAAACGACATATACAATACTGTATAGGACATATACAATGAGTACATAGTGTATAGGACATATACAATACATACTGTATAGGACATATAAAATACATACTGTATAGGACATATACAATACATAATACTGTATAGGACATATACAGTACATACTGTATAGGACATATACAGTGCAAACTGTATAGGACATATACAATGCATACTCTATAGGACATATACAGTACATACTGTATAGGACATATACAATACATAGTCTATAGGACATATAAGGTACATACTGTATAGGACATAAACAGTACATACTGCATAGGACATATACAGTACATACTGTGTAGGACATATACAATACATACTGTATAGGACAAATACAATACATACTGTATAGGACATATACAATACATACTGTATAGGATATATACAATGTACAATACATACTGTATAGGACATGTACAATGAATAATGTAAACGACATATACAATACATAGTGTATAGGACTTATACAGTACATAGTGTATAGGACATATACAATACATACTGTATATGTCCTATACAGTATGTATTGTATATTTCCTATACAGTATGTATTGTACATTGTATATGTCCTATACAGTATGTATTGTATATGCTATACAGTATGTATTGTATATGTCCTATACAGCATGTACTGTATATGTCATATACAGTATGTATTGTATATGTCCTATACAGTACATACTGTATAGGACATATACAATATATACTGTATAGGACATATACAATAAATACTGTATAGGACATATACAATACATAGTCTATAGGACATATACAATACATACTGTATAGGACACATACAATGTACAATACATACTGTATAGGACATGTACAATGAATAATGTATACGACATATACAATACATACTGTATAGGACACATACAATGTACAATACATACTGTATAGGACATATACAGTAAGGACATATAAGGTACATACTGTATAGGACATAAACAGTACATACTGCATAGGCCATATACAGTACATACTGTGTAGGACATATACAATACATACTGTATAAGACAAATACAATACATACTGTATAGGACATATACAGTAAGGACATATAAGGTACATACTGTATAGGACATAAACAGTACATACTGCATAGGACATATGCAGTACATACTGTGTAGGACATATACAATACATACTGTATAGGACACATACAATGTACAATACATACTGTATAGGACATATACAGTACAAACTGTATATGACATATACAATACATACTGTATAGGACAAATAAAATACATACTGTATAGGACATATACAATAGGACATATACAATACATACTGTATAGGACGTATACAATACATAGTGTATAGGACATATACAGTGCATACTGTATAGGACATATACAGTACATACTGTGTAGGACATATACAATACATACTGTATAGGACGTATACAATATATACTGTATCGGACATATACAGTACATACTGTATAGTACATATACAATACATACTGTATAGGACATGTACAATGAATAATGTATACGACATATACAATACATACTGTATAGGACACATACAATGTACAATACATACTGTATAGGAAATATACAATACATACTGTATAGGACATATAAAGTACATACTGTATAGGACATATACAATACATACTGTATATGACATATACAGTACATGCTGTATAGGACATATACAATACATAGTGTATAGGACATATACAATACATACTGTATAGGACATATACAGTACATACTGTATAGGACATATACAATACATAGTGTATAGGACATATACAATGTATACTGTATAGTACATATACAGTAAATACTGTATAGGACATATACAATACATAGTCTATAGGACATATACTATATATACTGTATAGGAGATATACAATACATACTGTATATGACACATACAATATATACGTATAGGACATATACAGTACATACGGTATAGGACATATACAATATATACTGCATAGGACATATACAATGCATACTGTATAGGACATATACAGTACATACGGTATAGGACATATACAGTACATACTGTATAGGACATATACAATATATACTGTATAGGACATATACAATGCATAGTCTATAGGACATATACAATATATACTGTATAGGACATATACAATACATAGTCTATAGGACATATACAATACATACTGTATAGGACATATACAATACATACTGTATAGGAGATATACAATACATACTGTATAGGACATATACAATATATACTGTATAGGACATATACAATGCATACTGTATA